CAAATATCGACGAATTTGCGTTTGTACACCGAAAACGTCCCCAAGACAAACGACACACCCTGTGCGGCGGCAAACGCACGTGCTACCTTGTTGTTGTTGTTGTTGTTGTTGTTGTTGTTGTTGTTGTTGTGTAGTTTAGCAGTTTAGTAGTATAGTAGTGTACAGTAGTAGTAGGTTTATCATCAGCAGGAGTAGGAGCATCAGTAGCTGCAGCAGCAGCAGCAGCAGCGGCAGCAGAAGTACTTACTAGTTGCAAGTGTAATTGTAGTCGCACTTGCAATCCCGACAGTAGTGGGAGTAGTGGCGGTAGTGGTAGTAGCAGATTTAGAAGTTCTGTCTTGCTTCAGGGTTTCGCCACTCAGAGTCAGAATAAGTTAGACAGCACAAGTCATACTCATCGAATTCGTCATGGATCTTGCTGCTGTCAAATGTCCTGGCATGACAGCGTCAGTGTCACTGTCACTGGATTTGTATTCGTAAGGAGACAGAAATCGCACTAAGACCAGCGAGCATAATAAATAAAGACAGTGGCAGCTTTTGGGCTTGCCTCTAAGGACTTTAGGAGGGACCCTTGATAGGGACCCCTAATCCCATTACCTTAAATAACCATTGTATAGTCCTTATATACCCCTTATATAGCCAGGTAGTCTCCATATGAACCCCAATAACCTACAAGGGTCCCTATTAAGGGTCCCTCCTAAAGCCCTTAGATTGCCAGGCTGGCCTACCGCATGGAGACGCAAAAATGCCTGGGTCGCCAAGAGGGGCTGAAGCTGGGAAGCTCGTAAAGCAAGAAGACAATGGATTCTTGAAGACCCACAAAGCGCGAAAAAATACCCAACAGGGCTTGCACTAAGACTTTACGGGGATTTTGCGGACCACATATTTGCATATATTTGCTGCATGGGTTGTCTTTCTGCCCGGAAGGTTTTGCTTTTTGACATGGGGTGTGGCATTGCAACTGCATGCAGCTACTTCCCATGCGGTCTTCTAAAGCCCAGGTAGGAATTTTGAACAGGGGGCATCAGGTGGTAGAAGCAGCTCGATCTTGATTTCTGAGTGAAAAGCTGAGGCAGTGTGAAGCAAATCAAGACGTCCATTGATGCCGGTCTGCTGACGGAGCTGATCCTTGAAGTTGAGCATGTCTTCCCCGACGGCAAATCGGACGAGAAAGTTGTTCAAGCGAGCATCCTGCAGGTTTGTGATGCGGTGAGGGGAACCTGCCTCGACGAACTTGTGCTTCCAAAAGACATCGGAAGTGTCTGCGACATGCTCCAGAAGCCTTCGGATTTGCCGGTGCGAAGGCTGTATGCCAGGATAGGAAAACTTGGCCATGTCGAGCCGGATGCCACAGAGTTGATGGTAGCTCGCTCCGGGCAAAGCTCCCCAAGGCAACTCAAAAGTCAGCAGCCGCGGTCAGCAATTATGTTGCGCCACATCAAGAGCGATGCGGCAATTCCAGAGGAATGGCATCCAAAGGATGAATGTGCCCATCTTCCCATTCTTGATCAAGGGATGTGTGGCTCGTAGAAGAAGTTAGCATATGCCATATGCCCTCCCGAATCTTGGATTGGACAGTCGTTTTGATGAAACCGCTGTATGTGCCCACTGAGGTGGCTCATGCTATGCACATGCCTTTGCTGCAATGATTGGGGAGCGGAAATGTCGCCTGGACAAGAAGTCCCGACGTCTCTCATCCGAGTCCTGCAAGGACCCTCAGACGCAGGTAAACGCCAAAGCGCAAGCTTAGTGTGTCGATACCCCATAGCTGTTGGGAGTTGTTTTGACGAGCATAGGAGACAGCCCCTTCTAAGCGATCAGTGCGTCCTCCCTCGTTACCGAGGACTCGTCCAATTGGACGGACTACCGCTCCTGGGGCTGCGAGGCCTATGCGAAACATGATCCAGGCTGCAAGTCCTTGCCTGACTATGGACAGAAGACGCACTGCAAGAAGTCCTGTGATACATGCCCAAGTATGGAACGTTTCGAGCGTGACGAAAACCAGTGGGTTGATGCCGAATTCGAGTATTTGCCGTCGGTTGCCGAACTAGCGCCTTGTTCGGAAAGCCATGATGGCGAGATGAGTGGCTGCAGTGGCGGGAACGTTGCGAGCATATGGAACTACTGGTGCTTGGATAGATTGTAGAACGTTTTTCCTGCATAGTGTCGGCAGAAGTCCCGCACCAGGGGCACGATGTGAGTGATGGATTTAGTAGGCTAGGAGGGAAGGTGCATCCTTTCGGAACTGTTTTGACCGGACCTTTCCGCAAATCTATTTCGACTCTAGCTCTGAAGCTTAACCGTAAAGGCTCCTTCCAAACAACCGTGAAGGTTACGGCACAAGCCATCGTTGAAGCTCTGGCGCATGGGAGCAAAATGCAAGCCGTACATCTTCAAGTGCTGGGAGAGCAAAGGCGGCGTTGTGAAACTTGGCTCTGCTTTCTAAGCCTAGAGAAGGCGATCGGAATCTGAGTTTTCTTTTTGTTGCCTTAATTGGGTTTCGCTGCCAGATGCCAGAAGTAAGGAATCCCATGAATATGGGCCATTGTGGCTGGTACGATGACTATCAGCTCTTCCAGAAGCCTTGCAGCTGCATTCCGCATTCAAAGCGGCCTACTGAGATGAAATGTCAGGACAGACCGGCCAAATGTTTATGACAATACCCTAAACCCTAAACCCTAAACCAATGTCGATTGTGGAGGGCAGCAGAAAGGGGCTGTCAAACGGGGGGAAGCCTCCGCAGAGTCGCACGGTTTGCAAGCATACCGACTCCACGACGACTCCGCTTGGACCAGCTGATAATACCTATAGACCCAACAAGAACTTGGAGGTTCATGGGTAGTTATAAGTGGGGTTATAAGTCCCCTAATATGGGTTATAATTATAGTTACCCTACTTATAACCCTACTTATAACTACCCATGAACCTCCAAGCAGCAACAAGCATGTGCTCCTGGAGCGCACCATGAGGAGTCTGGCAGCTTTGCGAGCAGTGACACAGACGAGAGAAACTGTAACGCAACATGGGAGTTTGCGAAAATAGGGGACCCTACAGTAATATAGTACCCTAACCAGTAGGATCCTTATTATAAGGATCCCAAAATAAGGTACCCTAATTTCCGGAAACTCCCACATGAGCACGTGCCCCGCACGTACTCTCTCTCTCCCTCTCACTCTCTGCAACCTGCAGGCGGGTCGGATGGACATTACAGACGGTAGAATCTCAGACGAGAGCGACACTGATGACAGTGACAGTACCCGCCAGGATTCTCAACCACCTTCAAAGTGCGCTGCCTCCACACCTGTTGCAGCCAACCGGCAAGCAATTGGCAATTTGTTGTTCCTGTTTTTCCGGTCGGCTGGGTGTGGAGGTGGGAACCCAGTCAGTTGTGACGTCCAGTCGTCAAGCCTGTTCTACTTGGAGGTTCATGGGTACCTATAAGTAGGGTTATAAGTAGGGTAACTAGAATTATAACCCCTATTAGGGGACTTATAACCCCACTTATAACTACCCATGAACCTCCAAGTAGTGCTTCTCGGCTCTCTGCCGCTCGTGGAGTCTGCGCTTGTCAGACCCTGCACCTCCTAAGATCTTGCAAAATGGGAGTTTCCGAAAATTAGGGGTACCTTATGCTGGGGGTCCTTATAATAAGGATCCTACTATTTAGGGTACTATATTAGGGTCCCCTATTTTCGGAAACCCCCAAATCGTTTCCCAGGTCTTCTCCATTATGAACAAGGCCGACGGGCTCAGCACAGCGGACACCGTAAAGAATATGCAGAGGCATATTATGGAGCATGGCCCCATCTATGCGTCTTTCGCGACAACGAGTGCGTTCATGGATTGGGATTGGGATGAGAAGCCAGTCTACACCGGTGGCGGCTCTAATGTGGGCGGCCATGCTATCGTGCTCACAGGCTGGGGAACAGAGCCCAAGCAGAAGGCAGATTTCTGGCGTTTCAAGAACTCCTGGGGGCCCGAGTATGCAGACAGAGGGTACGGCAAGTTCCAGAGAGGTGTGAATCTGGACCAGATCGAAGAACGCGAGATGGCTGCGGCTATGCCGGATGCAAACTTCGCTGACTTCTCTGCTCCAGAGTGTAATTTGCACCAGTGGAGCACTGCTTACTGGAAAGCAGGCGATCAGTTGACGCAATACAAGATCTACTACCATGTCAAGTGCAACAAGGACGCCAAAGTCAACGTCTTCGCCTCCCACCGTATTCAGAAACGGTCCGACATCTACAAGGGAGTGACAGGGAATGAAGAAACCGTGGACGCGAAAAGCAACGTCATGGCCAAAGTTCCCTTCGACCTCGTGCATGGAAAATTTGGCTTGGAGGCTGGAGATCAATGGATCAAGATCCGAGCCACCGATGATGCAGGCAACAAGCATGACAACACGCATTTCGTTTCGATCCCAACAGTGCCTGGTGTACAAAGTTACGGTTCCTAGGACGACCTGCATCTTCAGCCAGCGGCGCAGAGAAAATGATAGGCTAGTCGGCTAGTCTAGCAAGGCGCGGCAGAAATTTCAGCAAGCCCGCATGCCGAAAGGGGGCAATCGTACGTTTGCTTGATGCAAGTTCAGCAGAAGGCCGAGTAACATGCAGGCTTTCTTCAGACTGATTCAGACAAGTAGCAGCAGCAGCAGGTAAGTTCGACCCGAAACCCCGATCCCTCGTCGCTAAACCATTTGTAGGTCACTGAGCCCTAACCCTAAACCCTAAACCCTAAACCCTAAACCCTAAACCCTAAACCCTAAACCCTAACCCTGAAAGCCCTACACCCTTAAACTCCAGGGTCCCCTAAACCATCCGTTGAAGAGCCCTGGGGTCTTCCATTGAGCTTGCAACCCTTTGATCTCCCTAAACCCTAAACCCTAAACCCTACACCCTAAACTCTGTGATCTCCAGTTCGGACGAGTTTGCGACTTGCTCAGCTGAGCAGGTGGGAAAAAACCCTAAACCCTAAACCCTAAACCCCATCCATGCCACGTCAGAGGCCCCTGAGGTCCCTAAAGGCCCACCGAGGAGAGCTTGAGCCGCAAACCTAAAGCCCAGCGGCACCTTGGAGGTTTTTTGGGTAGTTATAAGTGGGGTTATAGGGTTCCTTTAAGGGTTTAGGGTTTAGGGTTTAGGGTTCATGGGTAGTTATAAGTGGGGTTATAAGTCCCCTAGTAGGGGTTATAATTGTAGTTACCCTACTTATAACCCTACTTATAAGTACCCATGAACCTCCAAGACCTTGTTTCTATCGTATGTCTTCTCAGTCTTATCAGTGGCATAGGGTCTTTTACCGGCTTAGGGGCCAGGGTATTTTGTCGTTCGTGAGACACTGTGCTCTCAAACTCAATCTGAAAGAGAACGGAGCACGGGAGAGACGGATCTTAAGCTGAACTGGGCTCTGTTCTGCCGAACCATCCCGGCTCCAGGATGGTGTTCTGGAGCCACAGGTGCCCAAGAAGCCTTCGTGGATTTGCAGAGTTCCACGGCTTTTTTCAGTGGTTCACAAGCTCGCAGAGATGCTTACATTAGTCCGGCTTCTTCGGGAGCGTGACGGTTGCAGTACCGAAACCTGCAGTTCAGGCCAAGGGGTCGGGGATGGATGGCCTTCTAAAGAGACTTCCCAGTGCCACATTTATGAGGCTCTGCATGGCCAGCACTTGGATCCCACCTCGGCCTGAAAGGCCTTAGGATTTCGAGTGGTGAGAAAGAAAGATTGCTTTATGTAGCGGTATAACGGCCCCAGAAATCCGTCACCCCAAAACCGAGAACACCAGAGCACACCCCCGAAATCGTGAAGCTCTGACCAACGCTGCAAGCAAGTGATGGAGTGGCTCCACTCACCAGCCCTCGCACCCGTACCGATCTATGCCAGGCCTTTACCTGCAGGAAAAGGGCGGTCATGCTCGAGACGACTCAGCCGGCTCCCCGTTGTTGCTGTGGTAGCCAAGCCTTCAACATCTGTGGGTCTACATGTGTATCTGTTTCATTTTATTGTATATACATATTACGTTTATGCATATAGGTTGCATATAGTATACATACAGATAGATTGAGAGAGACAGTACATGAACATATATATGTATACATATATATATATATGTGTGTGTGTATATATATATGATATACATATACACATACATGCATGCATACATACATTCACACACACACACACACACACTCGTACATACATACTTAAACGAGTGGCCTTTCCTCCTTTCATGGGCGAGGGAACGAAGCAACCAAGCTGTGCAAGCTTTGCCGCTTCAACGGTGGCCTATGTGGCTGTCATGTGAGACCCTGAACCCTAGACAGTCAGCCTGCCTTGCACAACAAAGGTCGAAGCCCAAAAACCCTGAAGCGGAGACTCTTTCACAGATGAAGTGAGTCTCTGACAAAGCAGGACTAGGTGCGCTGTTTGCGGTGAGGTTTGTTGGACTCTGCAGTCTCAGATCCAGCTTCCTTTCACCCATCACAGACCAAGTGGATGCAAACCCCAAGCCCCAGACCGTTCTAAACGGAAAACCACCACCAGACACACCACAGCCCCAATCTAATATATTCTGATGGTCTGTCCAAGCGCGCATGTTATCATCGGCACGGAAGCTCCTGGCGGTTTCAACATTCCGTCTAGCAGGCGCATTCTGCCAAACTCCCCAACCGCCCTTAAGGCAGGGAGAGAGGTGGCAGTGGTAGTGGCCGTAGTAGTACTGGTAGTAGTGGTGGTGGTGGTGGTAGTAGTGGTAGTTGCATTGCCAGCGGCAGCGGCAGTGGCACTGCCACTGGCACTGCCACTGGCACTGGCACTGGCACTGGCACTGGCACTGGTGGTAGTAGTAGTAGTAGCAGCAGCAGCAGTAGTAGTAGTAGTCGTCGTCGTCGTAGTAGTAGTGGTAAAGGAAGAAGTAAGAGTAGCAGTAGTAGTAGTAGTAGTAGTAGTAGTAGTAGTAGAAGTAGTAGTAGTAGTAGTAGTAGTAGTACTAGTAGTAGTAGTAGTAGTAGATGTAGTCGTAGTCGTAGTAGTAGTAGTAGTAGTAGTAGTAGTAGTAGCAGTAGTCGTAGTAGTCGTCGTAGTAGTAGTAGTAGTAGCAGTAGTAGTAGTGGCAGTAGCAGTAGCAGTAGCAGTAGCCGCAGCA